ACTTTGTCAATTTTAAACCGATCGAGCTGAGATTCTGCATGCAGGTATAAGAAGAATCATAGATGAATGTCATTGTGTATAATACAAGCCTGAGAACAAAAACTGTAGCCTACACTTCAGCTCTCCACAGAAGCGAAGCGAGGGCGGGCCGCTAGTATGAACTTATAATACAGAATAAAATAGAAAAATAAATATTTACATTTAGATATTAAACTAAAACTACACTAAAACTAGCCAAAAATTAAAACTATGTTAGGATACAAAAAATAGCCTAAGTCTTCACCGTCGGCAAAGGTTCCCAGGATGCTAGCGACATTTCTCCGCTGAATGGCGAGGCTTATGCGCTGGGCGATAAAGCCGCCAGCTTTGCGGTCTCCACCAATCTTTTCGCGATATCTTTCAATAGATGGTGGGCACCGGAGCCCCAGGGACCCTGAGTCTTGACTCCATTGCGAACCTTTGCCGACGGGGAAGTTATTTTTTGTATCTTAACATAGTTTTAATTTTGACGTGACAACGTCTTAAATTAGGTTGCGGCTGGGAGTCACTTATGAAAAAGTGTAACGCTCGGTAACGTTACGATGAGTTTAAGTTTACATGTACAATGTTTTAGTAAACAAAATATATTTCTATAGTTAAAATTTGTGCAATTCTTATTTTCATTCAATTCCTTGTTCCTATTGTGCAATTTAATTATATTCATATCAATAAATATTCTACCGAGAAAAAGACGTTGTCACGTAAAATATTCGCCCGTAAAACCGACTTTACAGGCAACCATTTTTTTTTGTATCTTAACATAGTTTTAATTTTTGCTTAGTTTTAGTGTAGTTTGGGTGTCAATATATTTTTAGGATATCTCAAATATCTATGTTGTCTTTGTTCTTTTAACATCGCAAAATCCACCTAAAATTTCATTCCCATCTCTGAGTAAGACTTTAAAGCAAATTAAGTTGTTTTTTAATCTCGATAAAAGAACAATAGCTCTTGGCAACCGCCTGTAATAGTTTCGTAATATTATTGAATCCGATAAAGTGTTAAGTAGGACTTAACGTAATGAAATGACAAATGCCGGTGACACGCTGTTTTAAATAATGCATTACAAAAGGCTTATGTAGGTACAATTTTAGGGTTCTGTACCTACCTCAAAAGTAAAAAAACAACCCTTTATAGATCACTTTGTTGTTCGTCTGTCTGTTAAGACATTTTATGTTATCAACTTGAAATTAAACCATGTACTCAGTACCCTTAGTACGATACAATTACGAAAACTATGATAGTTTGCGTGAGTTCGCACTCGTACTCAGGGTACTGATTTAATTGTTTTTGTTTCAATACAAATAAACAGTATTTAAATTCTATCATTAAATCGTTTGAGTCTTCTTAAATTTTAATTATATTTGGTTACTTTTCACCAAAATGGACATAGAAACGTAGATTTACAATTACGAAAACTATGATAGTTTACACTTATACTAACGAGGGCGTATTTTAAGATCTCACACCTGGGGCTGCTTACGATTTACATTCCGCTAGTTGATAACCCGTCGAAATTTGGTTTATATCTCTGTTGTGGGATCTCTGGGCCACAGCCTTAAATCCAACCCTGACCCCACCCCACTTGATGTAAGTTTGAATGGAGTCCAGTCACTGGTGCGGCAGGATAGAGTGCCACTCCAGTCATCCTCACCGTGCCGGCCTGAATGGACCGAACTCTCTACCCTGTGCAGCCCTGGAAGCCTACTTCTTACTTACCAATGAAGGTTTTCTGGTGGCAGCACTGGGACGATAGGTCTAATCATCCGTCTAATCGCGTATGTACATAATCTATCATCATCATCAGCCTATTAATGTCCCCACTGCTGGGGTACAGCCCTTCCCTATTAATGGAATAGTGAGATTGGGCTATGTCCCACAACGCGGGCCCCGTGCGGATTGGTGGGTGCTAACGACTGCAGATGCAGCCGGGACCAATAACTTAACGTGCCTCCGCGGCACGGAGGAGCTCGACATAGTAAATTTTTGGCCACCCATCCAATGACCGACCACTGCGAAAGTTGCTTAACTTCAACGATCGCTGCCGGACGCGCTAACCACTTGCGCCATCGAGCTCCTCATAATCATATAATTTATGGAGCAATTTAAATGCTCATCGAACAGTTCAGACATAACAACTTCATACAAAAGACCTCCTGTCACAGTGGCGCCGACTGGTGACGTAAATTTTCATAAACAACCTCATTGAAACACAATACCGACAAAAAGCAATATAATCCTACTTGTATAGAAGACTTCTGAAAGGTGGTGGCATTGCAATTTGAGCGGGTAGTCCGCGTTGTCTGATTTTTTTGAAATATACACTTTAAATCATGTAGGTACTTTCTGATACTAATGCTACGGCCGTACTGTCTCACTATCGCGACAATTTTCCGTTTTCACGACACGTCGGACTAAGCAATAGGCACATAATGCGATTGTACTAAGAATAGGACCGACTGTGCGCCATATTGTGACGTCAAAGCTGTCAATTCAAACCAAATAGGTACAGTGACCAAAAAAGTTTTTGTTTAATAAAAGTTATTTACTAAGATTAAGTGAGAAAATCATCAGATTTTTTTAATAAAATGTATTTACTAAGATTGGGAAAAAACAACAACTGATTTTTAATAATATTTATTTATTAAGACTGTCTGAGAAAAAACATTTATCAGAATCTAGCTCTTCAATTCTGCTCATCTCTACATTACTATTACTAGGTCACATACGAACATGCATCCTTTACGTAAACGTAAGTTTTGAATCGAGTTTATCCAACTTAAAGTGTCATTTGATTCACGATGTAGGTTATCAAACAGTCATAATAATATCCAAAGCTCAATAAATGAAATAAAAAAACAATATTTGTTATTGTTTGTGTACAAATGTTTGGTTTTTATTCTAGAATTAGCTGAGTGCTAAGAAAGGGATCCAAGTTTTTTTTGCAAACCGTACTTTTCTAGCGACGTTTGACAGATGGAGGTCATTGGCTTTCCTGTTCTTATTCGAATCGCACTATACAGTTCAGAAAACGGTAAGAAATGCGATTATTTATTTAGTTTTTGTATATTGCTATTGTAGTGCTGTTTCAGGGTTCATGTTTGGATCTAAAACTAAGTCTAAAGAATTTGTAATTTCCACATAAAACAATAAATGTACGCGATAGTGCAGAGGTGTGGCCGTAGCATAAACGCAATTTTGGTGATGTTATTGAATTTTGCGATTTGCAGATTTTTAATAGGTAATAAATAATAATGAAAAAGCAAATAATTTATTGCAAAAAAATATTTATTCAATCGTCGCTTACAAGTAAACAAGCGAAAAACACTTCAAAAATACTTATTCACTATTTTATTATGTACAAAGAAAAAATGTAAACTTACATTACTAACGATAGATCTTATAAAAAATAAGTCTACAAATGCTAGGACGTTTATAAAAAATACTTATTTTAAGGCACTTCTTAGTATTGAATTTATTAATAATTATTGTTTTTCATAAATTGATTCGAGAACTTCATTAAACGACCTGTAGGTATTTCATGCGCATTTTTATACCACAGACACGGAGTGAAAATGTGTATGGCAACGATATTAAATACCCTTGATACACCAACACGAACAAAATCGTGCCCGAAACCTGTCCAAAAGGTACATTGGACGATTCACGGAGCTCCGTAAGATAGTCAAAAACAATATATGACATTATTTAAACATTGAAACTCACCTTTAATGCATACTGTATAAGGTTTTAATCAAAACGCATGCGTCAAAAAGTTACGACAGTTCGAAATACAAGCTCGTAAAATTTAATGACTTATTGCTATATGCGAAAGAATATAGACCTTATTTCTTTGACTCAGCGCGCAGTTCTGAATGCGCTGTTCGCAATATAGTAGGTACGGACCGCGAGGAAAAAAGACGGCTATATTACCGATCATGCATTTGGATATCATAAATATTTTCTATTAAGTCAGTTTATAGTAAGTATTAAAACAAAATTAGCTTCAAATACGTTAAATTAACAAACATTGATTAGATACCTGTCGAAAAAACGTCAGTTTACACACTATTAGTATTTTTTCGAATTATTTCACGGAGCTCTTCGGGGTACTTGAGTATTCAACGGTCCGCGCGTGACTGTGAATCAAGAAGTGCTTGAGTCATGTTCAAGCACTTCTTGATTGGAACACATTTTGAGCGCACGTGATGTATGTAGGGTATTCAATATCTTTGGGACCACACCCTAATAACGGCAATCGCTCAATGGATTATGAACTTCACCAGCAATAGATTAAGGGTGAAAATAATATTAAACGTCCATCTTATACTACAACATATTTATAACTAAATGCATTGGGAGATAGCCGCTACATGATCTGTAGGTGCTTCAAAAATACTTACTACAACAAAAAAATATCTTTTTGGTAATCTTTTCGATTCGATAATAGTAAAATAAAACTTATCATTAAATTTTATTGAAAAAAGAAATAAGTAGTCTATATAAATGTTAAATTCATACGATATTTTCCTTAGACCTTTTTAATTTTATTTTTGTACTTAAATGAGCATCTTATATGAATATTGGCATTATATTTGCAAAATTGCATTCAAATGTTGTACTTTTTAATTAAAAAAAAAGTATTTTTTAATCTATTGTATACGTGAACTAAATGTATGTATGTATTTCACTTTAATTATTAATGCAAAGTAACAGTCTGTTACGCATTTAAGTCAAAGCGGCTGAACCGTTTTTCATGTGAAGTGAACAGTAAAATAACGTAAGATTGTTTTCGTAAAGCTGTCAAAATACCCTACTGAGTTTTTATTAATTTCAGGAGTTAGGCTAAAATAATATTATCTAGCCAATGACTTTAACACTTTTCTTTTCAGTAACTAGTCAAGTTTTACATTAGCGGTCAGTGTGTACAGTGCATAAAAATTTATGCGTCATGCCCGGGAACGCTACGTGAGCGGTTCGTCAGTGAAGTATGGGTGTTCTAGACAATCCAAGGCGGTTAGTCTCCTAGCCGGATCGAATACAAGCATTCTCTGTAATAAAAAATAAACGCATTATTATTAAAACTAGCAAACCAGTGAACCAAATGTTCAAAAAAACCTGATTTAAAAAAAATGTATTTAATTAATTGAGAACTTCGGAGATTTTGTGTGGTTTCGTTTGAAATTCGTGATTTCTCGAAAACCGGAAGTGCTACGTTACTCAAATCCGGTTTGTAGTCTTATCAGACTATTGTTAACTTATAACTTAAATATTCTCTTTATCTATCTCTTACGGTTTGGCCGCTGAAACAGCACCACAGACGGACGGACGGACTTGTCTAATAGATAAGAGATATTGAAAGAAGAAAGAAAAAGTATTTATTGGCCATACACGCAAATACATATGTAGAAAAAAACAATGAGCAAAAAACAATACAATTAAACAAAACAGAGAAATACAAAAGAGAAAGAAGAATGGCCAATCTGGATCCTGCCTCAGCTTAATGCTGTTATCGTGGGAACGTATATTCCCCAATATATTGCATTACAAGCCCTTCAAATTACTTATAACTGAAATGGTTTTCTAAAAGGCTGTGTACCAAGGAGATTAAAAATATCACTGTCACATACATGGAGGTTAGAGAGAAGGAGAACGATCGCCACGTACTAAAGCATTAGCCCGTCTGTCCCTGAAAATTTGTAGAATTTATAGTTCATTTTTCAGCCACCAGCCGCGCTGCCGTCGCTAAGAAGTATCTGTGAAGTTAGCTGTTTATGAGTACAAGTAGATGAAGTTAGTTGAATATTGTACGAATTTTCTTCGCGGCATTGGTCATTTCAAATTAGCCCGCTTTTATTGAGACAACTTAGCGATCGCAGCGCCTCACTTATTTAGTCCATATTTTTGGGACACTATTTTCTACAGCGCTCCGTTCTCCTTACCTCTAACCTCCATAATCGCCTTCCTTCCAAAATCTAGCTCGTTGAGGTTTCAAATGTATTCTTTTTTACTTCTTTCATAATAAACTGCTCAGTCACAACTATAGATGTAAGGGTTTAAAACCAATTAAACCAATCCGTTTAAAACGAAATGTTCATTTCAATGTTTGTCAATAGATGGCGCTTTGTCCTTTTAACACGCGCTATCGTTGTATCGCGACAAATAGTATAAGGCTTGGATTGTATTTTTTCTTTTCATTCAATAAACGAGTACAAGTGTCAAGTAAGTTTTTCATTCAGTGTTGCCCTCAGTTAATAGTACAAAAGTGAACAAGTGAACAAATTTGAACACGAAAAAACCGTTTAAACTAGACATGGCCGTTTTTGGTTTTGAACGCAAACGGATATTTATCGGATTTCAGATTTCAAAATCGATTTTAAAATCCGTTTTTAGATATCCGATTTCAGATGTGCTGAACTTGACCAATTCACAAGTTTGTGTTATGATTTGGTTTTATTAGCTAACGACAATCACAAACAATTAATTGTAGGAAGCAAGGATACTCGTAGATATTCGCGATTTTCCTTCATGCTTTAAATCTAGGTTTAGGACTAGCAGAAAAGTTATGATTACGGTTAAGAGTAAAACTTTTGCGACGCATTTAAAAATCGGCTTTTATACAATGATTTCTTTTTACATATTTTTTAGTATTTTTATTTGTTATTCTGTTTGTTTTTATTATTTTTCAAACCATTTACAAAATCAAACCTAATTACTTCAGGTTAGCGTCCAAAAATGTAAGTTGCTCGACTTTTGATGTTTTTAGACGACATATCTTTTCAGTGATAAATAATCCCGCCTCAGAGAACAGCAATAGATTTCCGTAAACAGCAAATCGAAATCGGAGTTCCGAGCACGAAATCTGACTTCCGAAAACGAAAGCACGAATTTCGAATCCGATTTAGATTTGGATACTTGTGGTATTTGGTTTTGGTTCGGTTAGATTTCTGAAATCGGATTTTCTTGTTGAGAAATCGTTCGGTATCGATTTGTGTTTGAAATCGGATTTTGGATTCGTTTTGATATATCGGACGCATGCCTAGTTTAAACCGAAATAAACCATTTTTTTCGATTTAAAACGGTTGGTGTTGATGACTATGTTTTTCTTAATTATAACTACATTGTCTTAATTTTAACGAGGTAGGAGTATAGTACCTATAAACTGTATAAAGATTTTTTAAATGTGTAATATACTTACTGATATCGATATACTTAGCAAGTTAAGTTCTAGTTGGTCCATCCGCGACCAAGCGTAGCACAGTGTTTCTTTTGCCCCAAAAAAGTGACATCCGCTTTTTATCGAACATTTAGACTCAATAGGTTATTACAAATGCAAGAGTAGAATTCCCAGGCGTCATTTCCGTATAGTTTATTTTTAAAAAAATCTTAAAGTTTACGTGACCTCGATGGTCAAAATACTGAAAATAATTCCTACTAAGAGAACTATACGTGATTGAGTTTTATTTGTATTACAGGCTTATGAAGCAATTCTTGGTGCATAATATCCTGTTTTTGTTTAATAAAAAATGACAATAGAATCCCCAAAAAAATTTTTTTTAACGAAATCAGTATTTTATTTTTTTTATTTTTTCTAGCTCGAAGTAGAATCTCTGTCTAGTACAAATAGATTCCTTACAATAAGGGTTATTGCCCACAAAAATATTGCTTTCAAGTTCGGCCTAGGTTTCAAGAAAACTATTTTTATGTACTGGGGTCAAAGATCAAAATTTAGGGTTGTCCATAAAAGAGGTCACTTTTTATTATTGTTATTTTTAATTTATCACACATACTTCTTCTTCTTAAATGTTAACATTTTAAACAGGAGGGAGGTACAATTAAATTAAAATATATATACTAGCTTTTGACCGCGGCTTTGCTCGCGTTAGATTTGATTTTGTACAGTCCATAGAATGTTAGTAGAAATAAATAATATTGTTGTACCTGTTTGTTTGTTTTTTGTTTGAATACGCATCACAGGAAAACGGCAGGACTGATTTCGATGAAACTTTTTTAGTTTGATTGCTTAAGGTCAAATGTTGCCTTTTTATTATATATACAGATATAATATTTATTCACATAAACTTTCTTCGTTGCTTAATATTATATTAGCTTCATCACTGTCGTCTTGTGAGAACTCTTGGTCTTGCATATTATCTTCTTGTATACTATCTTGATCAACGGCCTTCAAAAGATCTCGCAACCTAGCCGGAAGTAGTAGACTTTTTGAAAATTTTTGTCGACGATGGAGGCGAAGTAGTGAAATTGCCGGATCTGATGATTCTAATGCACTTCATCGTGCATTAGAATCATCAGATCCGGCAATTTCACAGTCAGAGATCAGTCATGGTTTTATTTCTGTCCATTTTTCGACAGTGTTGCTCTCTATCTCTACGCGAGAACTTATTTCTGGATTCCGCTGCTTGTTCAGAGAGCATACCTACCGGAAGGGGATTGGAATCAATGATCTCTTGACCATGCAATAGAATTTTATGCACTGTCACCGTTATTGGATGCCAGCCATATGTAGCAACATATTTTTCTGCAACTGCCCTGCAGTAGATGCCAAACTTCGTGGAGTCTATTGGTAACTCACAATTGATTGTGACCAGGATAATATATAGATCATCTAATAACCATGAATGCAATCCTAAAATATCTGCAAATGTATGCCGATATTTATCTGACAGCGCAGTTCGTGCAGTATTGCCGTCATTGGTGGTGCCTGCATTTGGCCTTAGTACGTCAACCAACAAGCCTATTTTGCACCTAATTTCTGCCTGGATACACTCTTTTCGCTGTTTAATTATGCTGCAGAAAAAAACGAGCGAAAACAACATTTACAAACCATCATGTTGTTATAACGTCAATACAAACATGATTTATTTCATATAGAAAACCTGTTGGAATGATTGGAACAGTTCAAACCCAAAAATGCTTGGGTTTGAACTGATCCAATCATTCGAATAGGATTTCTATATGAAATAAACCATCTGTGATATAATCAGACACTTTGTAATAAGCTTTTTATGAAGTGCTTTTTTTATAGTATCTTTAAATTTATCTTATCTTGTTTTGGATATTGCTTGGGACTTTATTGTATAAGCGAACACAAAGACCTTTAAATGAATTACTGTTTTTGTAAAGCCTAGTAGCAAGCAAAGTTAGTTTATTTTTATTTCTTGTATTGAGTGTGTAAACATCACAGTTTTTAATAAATAAATTAATATTTTTCTCACAAATAATAAGTTTTAATATGTATTGTGATGCAACTGTCATTATGCCAATTTATTTAAACGGAATAAATACTTATTTAGTTTACAAAAAATATATCACACAATCAGATCAAAAATGGTGACAACCCTTATAACAATTTTTGAAATTCGTTTTCTTGAAACCTAGGCCGATATTGAAAGCAATATTTTTGTGGGCAATAAACCTTATTATAAGGAATCTATTTGTACTAGACAGAGATTCTACTTCGAGCTAGAAAAAATAAAAATAAATAAATACTGATTCCGATAAAAAAATTTTTTTTGGGGATTCTATTGTCATTTTTTATTAAACAAAAACAGGATATTATGCGCCAAGAATTGCTTCATAAGCCTGTAATACAAATAAAACTCAATCACGTATAGTTCTCTTAGTAGGAATTATTTTCAGTATTTTGACCTCCGAGGTCACGTAATCTTTAAGATTTTTTTAAAAATAAACTATACGGAATTGACGCCTGGGAGTTCTACTCTTGCATTTGTAATAACCTATTGAGTCTAAATGTTCGATAAAAAGCGAATGTCACTTTTTTGGGGCAAAAAAAACACTGTGCGTAGGTATTACCTACCTAAGTTATAAAAAGTCTTATCATAAATTAAAAACTCTGTTGGTAAATAAAAAAAAAAACATTGTTGAAGTGTAAAAACCATAGTTATTTTATTTTTGTATGCCAGTTTTCAACCGTTTAAAACGATTTATTTGAGGTTTAAAACGGCAAGATTTTGTTAAAAACGTTTTAAATCGGTTGTTTTACATCTATAGTCACAACTTTGCTTAATAACGTGAATTAAAAAATATTTTGTTTAAAACGTTTTAAATCGGTTATTTTACATCTATAGTCACAACTTTGCTTAATAACGTGAATTAAAAAATAAATTCAAGGTAATCTAAAAGTTAAGTAAATTCAAGTTAATGTAAGAAACTTACCCTTATTAAGTCTAACGCGTTGGGATGTATGCTAGGTATGACGTCGGCTAAATCCTTTGGCGGATAATCCGGAAAGCTATCCGGCAATATGGATACATTATCCGGCCAGTCGAACCTTGATGGGCGACCGAGGAGTCTGTTGACATTCAATAAATTTAATAAATAAATAAATATTTACAACACTCACACTAAATTAGCCTAGCCCAAAAGTAAGCACTGAAAGGCTTGTGTTTATGGAATACAAGGGTAACGGATAAAAAAATAAATAATGATAGGTATATTGCTTCTAGGAATAAGATATGATTTAGGTGAAAATGCTCGTATTCATTTATCATACAAACATTTATCCCACCGGGATTCGAACCCAGGCCCACTGAGTCGGCGGCGACACCTTGAAAACCTTTTTTTTTTATTACGCAGGTAAAAAATGCTATTTACAGACGACGGCGCCTTTAAGAGGCACACCGCCAAACGGACCTCACACCTGGCTCCCGCAAGTCTTACGGGCGCCCCAGTGGCTGTCCACCGAGGACCCCGCAACTCTTACGGGCGCTTTACGGCATAATATCCGCTAAAAAAGTCCTGCGAATACCCTCTAAGCTGCTTAGCGCGAAGCCGCGGGATCCCCGTTTAGGGATTCCTCCGCGTCTTGACATCTTGAAAACCTGAGTACATACCGAACGAATGTAGGCAAACGATTATATTTGTGAAGTTTTTGTTTTGTGTGAATTCTATAAATTTTCGAAAATTACTAAGGTAAGGGATGATGACTATTTTTTTCTGCGTTTATCAGGTAGATTATCAAAAAGTATTGGACACGTATTTTTTCTTTTTTTACATAATATAAACATTGCAGAGATATACTGATTTGAAAAGTCACATGACGACACGTTTTGGTACAATTTTCACTTAAAAGTAACGTCACGAGCCCCTACTCCCAAACTTTGACGCGCTATAACTTTGTCATTTTTTGGTTGATTGCCTTAAGAAAAAATACGTGTCCATTATTTTTTGATCATCCAACTGACACGGACTAAATAGAATTTCTTGCTATTAAAGTCGCTGTAGCATAATTGGTCAAGTACGGGTTCGAGTCCCGTCTGCTGCCTTGACCGCGTGCAATTTTTTCTAAAATCTTTTTTTAGACATTATTATAACTTGTAAATACCATAAATAACCATCACAAGGATACTTCCATAATAGTAATTAAAATAGTATGAAGTTGCTCAGAGTCGAATGTGCCTGGCATCAGAGGAGTTCTATGAAAATACCATAACCATCACAAGAATACTTCCGTAAATGTAAGTAAAATAGCATTAACCTACCTACGAGTAAATATGCAGTGAAGTTGCACAGAGTCGAATGTGCCTGGCATCAAAGGAGTTCTATGAAAATACCATAACCATCACAAGGATACTTCCATAAAAGTAAGTAAAATAGTATAAACCTACCTAAATATGCAGTGAAGTTGCTCAGAGTCGAATGTGCCTGGCATCAGAGGAGCTCTTCGAAAATATCATAAGCATCGTAAGGATACTTCCATAAAAGTAAGTAAATATTATAAACCTACCTAAATATGCAGTGAAGTTGCTCAGAGTCAGATGTGCCTGGCATGAGAGGCGCTCTAGTATGCAGTTCTGCCAGTACGCAGCCGCAAGACCAAACGTCTACTGCTGTATTGTAGGACACGCCTAGCAAGACCTCTGGTGGACGGTACCATAGAGTAACTACCTATAGACAAACATACATAATATATATTACATAGATATTAGATATAGTCCAGTCTTTCTATTTGGGATCCATTTCATTGAAATATGCAATTTTCCAGATCAATATACCAGAGAAATATTTAATAAATAAAATAAAATTCATTTATTTCGAGCAACATAACGCATAATCAAAATAATAATACATAATCAAGTACTATAGAAATGTCACTAAAAATACAACTCATAACTACTACTACTAAATATCAAGTAAAAATCTGTTTAATGGAATGACATTTCTGAATATTAACTTCTTTTGTAAGGATATCGTTTCGTTATTTTTTCATTTTGAAAATTCAAGATTAAAAATTATGGATTGTCATTATAATTTCCTTGTGCAATCAAATTGATGTATAGTTTATTGAAATTTTCATCAAAATTTCCACAACTGTTTTTTTTTATTGTTTTAACTAATGTTATCAAAAAACACCACCGTACATCTGGGGAAAAGCGGTGGACAAAGGAAAGAGTAAGATGATTGAAAGGTAAATAATCGAAAAAGTCCGTTCGCAATGAAGTTGCTCAGAGTCGGATGTGCCTGGCATTAAAGGCGCTCTAGTATGCAGTTCTGTCAGTACGCAGCCGAAAGACCAAACCTCTAACGCTGTAACAACTGAACATGCCTACCAAGATTTCTGGTGGACGTTACTAAAGAGTTATTGCCTATGGCTTAGATTAAAACAAAAGGTACGAAATATGATCCGACTCAAGTACATAAGTAACTCTCTCACACACACACGTTTGTATATAAACATTCAATCGAGCAAGCGAGACAGAACTATACGCTTTAACGCAGCGTATTGTTGTCCTTTTCTTGATAACAAAATGGCGATTAAGTAAATAATATTCGCGACAAACCGTGGTTTTTGAGAAAAAAATGTTATTAACGTTTTACGAATGAAAAGTGTTGCCGAGGCATTTGTTATTTGATTTTGTGTTTATTATAAAAGTATCGAAGCCATTGTTTTATCTTAATAACACAGAATATACGCAATATTGATATATATTGAGTGCGCATGCAGCGTGTTTGAATGTCCAATTGTGACTAAAGTGAATTATGGTCATGCACCACAATTTAAGCGGATCACTTTTGAGCCGCGAGTGCCGTATCTTGCCTTTTTGTTTTAATCTAAGACCTATGGACAAACATCTTCATTGGCGCGATTACATTTGGTCGTAAGCCCGAATACAAGAGCCAATGGAATTCAGGTAAACGCCTAAGTGTAAATTAACGGACTCAGAAAACGCCTGTATTCGGGTAGATTTTTGTTTACCCGACACCGTCTTCCAGCCCGTATTACAGTGTAAATATTGCTTCGGGTGCCCGAATTCGAGTAATGTCTTTCATGCATCGGAATGCGGGCTAGCGACCAAATGCAATTGCGGCATAAGTCTTTGCGAGACCAATATCAGCTAACTAGAGTCATCACTGCAGGAGCAAAATTGTTGGCTAGTTGAGGGAAAAACAGCTTTGTAGCGTTGCAATTAGGGTTACCATCCGTCCGATTTTTTCCGGACATGTCCGGACTTTGTCCGGCTTCTGAATTTGTCCTTATTCTTTTAATAAGATGTAATATGAGTAAAACTACTTATTAAGTTATATTAAATAAGTCAAATAATGTTCATTAAGTTCTCATTAATTTAAAACAAAATAATTATTAATCATCTTTAAAAATCAACAACGAGACCCTCCTCGCGATGCGAGCGTCTGCTACCACGCGTATAGTATCACTGTAACTAAGTGGGTGATGTTTGCATTTTGTGACTAAAATGTCCGGACTTTTATCGAAATGTCCGGCTCTTTGTCAGGACTTTTTAAATATTTAAATAGTACCTAACCCTAGTTGCAATGGAGACTATAATTCTAAACACTTACCACGCTCGTAAGCTTCATGTCCGCGTCGTAAGTCTTCGCTAGCCCAAAATCCGCTAGCTTCACGCGACCAGCGCGTGTCACGAGAAGATTGTGGGGTTTCAGGTCGCGATGGACTATGCGATGCGAGTGTAGAAAGTCTATGCCCGATAGGATGTCGTAGGACATGCTCTGAGGACAAAGTTCAAATAAACTAGTTAAAAAAAAAAAAAAATGCATGTAACTGCTTGATGTTTCTTGATGTTTGTTTGAGGGCCGCGGTAGCATAATTGGTCAGTGCATTCGCCCGGATTGCGAAGGGTGAGGGTTCGAGTCCCGTCTGCAGCCTGGTCCGCGTGGAATTTTTTCTAGTTATATTTTCTTTAGATTTAAATGAATATTTCCAACACTCCTAGCCTAGCCCCAAAGTAAGCACTTTAAGGCTTGTGTTATGGGATACTAGGGCAACGGATACAATACAGATACTGTACATATATAAGTATATTTATAAAGAAATACATATTAAAACATCCATGATGGAGTACAAAAAGCTCGTATTCATCACACTAATATCTGCCCCCACCGGGATTCGAAACCGGCACCTCTCGAGTCGTGGCAGTGACACCATGAATCCCGGCGTACCAACCACTCGGCCACGGAGGTCGTCGAAAGAGACAAAAATCATTTTATTTTAGACAAAACAACAGAAAAAGAATATTTAAACAAAACACACACACACATCTAAATATGTCTGTCTCAAATCAGTCCCAACTATAAAAGGTTTTGGTGTCGCCGCACACGGGCCACAAGCCACAGCCACAAACGCCGCCACGAGAAGCTAGAAGCGGCTACTAATGTGGCTGAAGCGCGCGACAGCGGCCGACTAAGGTAAGGGAGAGAGGGGTGGGGAATCGTGCGAGTGACGTGTGGCGGCGTTTTGTATCGGCGCATTAAGTGGCCGGTGCGGCCCACAAGAAGCGAGCAACGACGATTTGTAGAGTGTGGCGGCCTCCAGCGTACTGTGTGTGTCCATATAAAATGTATGAAAACTACCAAGAAATATGCCGGTGCGGCGGTTTGCGGTTGTGGTCGGTGGCCCGTGTGCGGCGACACATAGGAGCATAGAATGAGTAAAACTATATTTTATGAATGAAAATCATTACTTTAGTGATAATAATCAAGGAGGAATCAGTCGAGAACGATTGTATGGAACAAAAATGCCCGCCTCCCCGCTTAAACAATAGTTCTTGTAGTATCATATCACAATCACCCAATTAAATGACACTACAAATGATTTACTACGGGTCTCATAGGACGGCTCAAGGTCGCCCAGCGGGCAATGGAGAGAGCTATGCTTGGTGTTTCCCTGCGTGATCGAGTCAGAAATGACGAGATCCGTAGGAGAACTAAAGTCACCGACATAGCTCGAAGAATAGCCCAGCTGAAGTGGCAGTGGGCGGGGCACATAGCGAGGAGAACCGATGGCCGTTGGGGAGGAAAGATTCTCGAATGGCGACCGCGTCACAGAATATATACACTACGCGAAAAGAGGGACACTTAAGCATGTGTGCTCGTAAAATCGCCCGCGGCTATGTGTGGGTGTCTGGAGGAGCGCGGGGGCGTTGCGCGGCGCGCGGGGCGTGGAGAGGGCAGTCGCCGACTGCCTCGACCGAAGGCATGGCAGTAGCGAAATAGTATTATTTTACTTAGCGTTACACTGCATTGCACACACAGACTGACTACGCTACGCAATCTTATTATTATTTAGATAATAATAAGAATTATAAAACGAATCGAAAAGGGAGAGAATATATAAATGTTAGCAATTTGTTATAGTACCTACATTAAATGATTAAAAATTGAATTGTAAAATCAAACCTATCCTTCATTATTTACCCCAGTATCCTTGAATCAGTTTACATTTAATAACTTACTATGCATAAATATTCATTGGCACAAGTCTAAATTCCAAGTTCAACCCTAGCGCATACACGCTCCTGCTCAAGGTCACTGACGCTGGAACTCTCACGTACAGAGAGTGTCACCGCTGTGACCGCGTGCCGGACGACGCTCAGTGGGAAGACCCGCTACAAGGTGGACCGACGATCTGGTGAAGGTCGCGGGAAAACGCTGGATGCGGGCAGCGCAGGACCAATCGTTGTGGAGATCCTTGGGGGAGGCCTATGTCCAGCAGTGGGCGTCGTACGGCTGATATGATGATGATGACAAATGACAGATTTAAATCAACATTTTCAACTTGTCTGCATAATTCGATAATATCTTTCTTACTCTGATTCTGTTTTCCGATAAAGGTCCAGGAGATCTCTTCAGGAACGAGTCCAGGTCTTGTTCCACATGCTCAAACACCAGAAACAGTACCAGCTGCTGATCACGTTCCATCGATTGTCCACCGTGACACACATCCAGGAGTCTGAAGACAAGAAAAGAATACTTATAAATGTAATGCAAATCTTTATATATATAATTCTTCTGTGAGTGTGTATGTCACTGAACTTCTCTTAAACGACTGGACCGATTTTGATGAAATTTTTTGTGTGTGTTCAAGGGGATCTGAGAATGGTTTAGATTCACAATTTTGTCCGCTGGACAACCCCTATTTTTTTAGGGCGGTACGAAGTTCGCTGGGTCAGCTAGTAAAAGATATATTTTTAAAACACACCAATCAGCTTAGCCTCAAAGTAAACACTGTAAGGCAATATATGTACACTAATCAATTTTTAGGGCCTTATCGAAAGGGTGGAAGAAGTGATTTTTAGTGTGTATGCTGTTTGTCGCAGATGATCTTTACAGCGTTACCGGGTTTGGGGACGGCGAGATCCTAAGGGGACCTCAAGCCGAGAATTGGCGAGTGCCTCTAGAGGTGTTCCAGGCGGATGGCAGCTCCTCACGGGGGGTCGCCTCTCCGTCTGCCTGTAGACCACTCGAACCTGAGGGGTCGGCTCAACTAGAGGGCGTCTCTGAGACTCGGAGCTCGGTTCTAGTTAGCCGTTGTCGTGGGGGGCGGGGAAAAACGACCAAGTACGTACCTGTACCTAGTATAGCGTGTCGTATGTAGACCGGGTCTTCGCACTCTTATCCTACGGGTGCGGTGTCTGCCTAGTGCTAAGCTAGTGTGCAAGTATGCTAGCTGTGTAGTGTTGGTGTTTGTGGACTGTGTGGGAGGAGTGGGAGGCGCGTGTTGGCCCGGGTGATTTTGTCGTCGGGGTACTCAAAGACGTGTCTATATAGGCCGACGGAATCGGTGGAACATTTTCGGAGATTTTTCGGTACTTTTTTTACCATTAATTACTATTTTTTGGCTGTTTATTTAAATATGTGCCTTATTTAAATTATTTAAAAAAAAATTGCCACAAAACATATAAATCTAAATTAAGTAATACGACTTTCTCTTCATTAGATGATGCCTTTGCGCCAACAAACTAATTTGACTACAAAAACGTCTGTACTATACGCTCTCAGGGCGTCGACTAAGCCACCTTACTGCCTAACAGCTACTTCATTACCCGATTGTTAGGACGTAAGCGAGTAAGGGAGATCGGTACCCCTAGCACGAACCATTATCGAATTCGAATAGTTTGCAAACCGAAATGTCAATGTCAAATTTTGTATGGAAACTTGAACCGCAGCGGCACAAAGTACGTAACGAGAACTAAAAATCGGTACACATTTGACAATGCCATTTTGGACTCGCAAACGATACGAATTCGATATTGGTTCGTGCTAGGGGTACGGGACGCGACGATAAGGTTTTTTACTCCCGAAAATCTTATTACACCACCCTTAGTTAGTGTAAGGGTCCCTTAAAATTGGGTAGTCCAATAGTACTTTGTGTTATAAATATTTCCAGAACTGACACTAAACTGTTAGGCTTTTGTTATGGGAAATGGGATATTCCTTGAAAACTGGTAATCACAACTAAAGTTGCTGAGTGTAGTCAGTATGGAAACTAAAGTTTAGTCAGTATTTTATTTGACAACTAAATTGTTAGACTGAAGATATCGCACATACCTATATCCGCACCGTAGGCGCATGGCGTTGCTATGATTTATGGACTTAACGAAAAGCGGTATACGGTGCGGAAATTAGTGAGATAACCTTTAAACAGGCTTCTTTAAGACTATGAATGAATGAATGAATATTCTTTATTGCACTATTTAACAAAATATATACAACATAAAACTCAAGGAACACAAACACAAAATGCGGCCTTATTGCTAAGGTAGCAATCTCTACCAGGCAACCTTTGGCTAAATGAAACCGTACCATGAAAATAGAAGAAACAGCGGGCTAGTGCATTTTAAAAATAAAAAAAATGATCATAAATATAAAAATAGTAAGAATATAAGGAAGCTATAAAATATAATACAAAGTAACTAACAGATAAAAAGAAAAAGATCAGGCAGAGTCCAGCTTGAGGAAATATTCTTTAATTTTAATGGTAAAGGAGTCTCGTCTGTGCACGTTTGATATCCAGAGGTAAAGAGTTCCACAATTTTATAGATCTTACATAGAATGACTTGGCTACGAAATCAGTGGAGTGGGGTGAGATAGCTAACTAAGGACATCCAATCCTATCTAAGGATAGGTTATGAGAAGACCGAAGATCGCGGACAGACAATTACACGCATCGGCGTAGTCAAGCAACGGGAGAAGAAGGGACTGTGCAAGAGAAATTTTAACGACCTCCGTGGCCGGTTTGTACGCCGGGTTTCATGGTGTCGCCGACTCGAGAGGTCCCGGGTTCGAATCCCGGTGGGGGCAGATGTTTGTCTGATGAATACGAGCATTTGTACTCCAGTCATGGATATTTAATATGTATTTCTATATAAATATACTTATATATGTACTGTATATGTATTCTACCCTAGCATCCCATAATACAAGCCTTACAGTGCTTACTTTGGGACTAGGCTAATTGGTGTGAGTGTTGGAAATATTTGTTATTTATTTAGTCTTGGTCGGCAACAGGTTTTTCAGGCGTTTCAGCAATGCTACTATGATAAAAATAAAACATTGGTACCTACTTATTTAATAAGCATTTCATTTAAGCCTAACTAGTTTAAATAGAAATACTTCTACAGTAAATCACACTAATATTATAAAGACGAATGTTTGTGAGTGTGTCAGTGTGTATGTTTGTTACTTCTTCACGTCTAAACGGCTGGAGCGATTTTAATAAAATTTGGTATGGAGTTAGCTGACATCTTGGATTACATAGGCTACGTTTTACTGCGGAAAAATATCCCTAATACATTAATATTATAAAGGCGAATGTTTGTGAGTGTGTATGTTTGTTACTTCTTCACATCTAAACGGCTGGAGCGTTTTTAATAAAAATTAGTATGGAGTTAGCTGACACCTTGGATTAACACATAGGCTACGTTTTACTGCGGGAAAATATCATTAATATAACGCGGGTAAAACCGCGGCGCACAGCTAGTAATTTCATCAAGTATATTATAATTTATGTACAACACTCTTACCTAGTGTTGCCAGTTCCGATATGTTTTAAATCGGTACAAAAGGTCAAAAAAATCGGTATTTATGGTTGCATATCGGGACAGTAAACAAAAAACAAGGGGTTTTTAGGTCTGGGTATAATTTATTGCGTTTTAAACTACTAGTGCTAAATTTCATTTTTTGATTAATCGGGACATTTAGCGTCCCGATTAGGTACAAATCGGGACGCGTCCCCTGACCCCTGAAAATCGGGACTTCCCGCGCAAATCGAGTCACCTGGCAACACTATTCTTACCTGACAATGTTCGGGTGTCGATACGCTTCCAACTGTCGGAGGAGCGCTATCTCTCTGACTGTTGAGAGCGGGATCCCGTCTTCGGTTAAAGCCACCTTAACCTTCTTCATTGCCACGATGTGCCCTTCGTTGAGCAGGTCTCGGGCTTTGTAAACCGTGCCGTAGGCACCTGATGAAACAATAGAAAGACACAAATTATTACATGAAACAATATACCTTAGATATACATAAATATAATAATTTAGGTCTAAACATTTGCGTCACTAAAAAGGCAGTATGTGTCGGATGTCGAAGAGTGCCTGACGCTAGTCTTCCGTGGTTACCTTAAAATAAATAAATAAATATTTCCAACACTCACACCAATTAGCCTAGCCCCAAAGGAAGCACTGTAAGGCTTGTTTTATGGGAAACTAGGGTAACGGATAGAATAGGTACATATACTGTACATATATAGAAATACATATAACATCCATGACTGGAGTACAAATGCTTGTGTTCATCACACAAACACCTGCCCCCACCGGGATTCGAACCCGGGACCTCTCGAGTCAGCGACACCATGAAACTTGGCGTACAAACCACTCGGCCACGGAGGTAGTAAAAAGTAGTGAGAAGAGTACGAATAGCTACGCCACTTAGGAAGAAAATTTAATAAAATTTTACAGATACTAGGGAAAAAGTGTAGGTTGTTATTTCTCGGTCTTATATCAACTCGGTCAATGTTTCAGGAGGAATATATTCAGTATTTTTTTCCCTTTCGATTATCCAACAAGAGGTTGTTTGATTATTCACTGATGTTTTTTCTATATTAATTATGCGGCACATTGAATTAAACAAAGTATGACAGCTTAATAATAGGAATACAAAACTACTTATGGGAAGGTAAACTGCTTCGTTACATAACCCATTACAGTGCCAGTCTGTCTACTTCCCTCACACACATACGGGTGCGGTAGGCAGGCTCCTGCTCTCTCACTCTAACCGGCAGCACTGCTTCGATTTGATTCAGTAATCGCTTTTGTCATGCGTCCTGATAGGCACACCCTTTTCTTTAATATTACCTTTGACTTTTTCTATGTATTTCAATTGATTTGATATTGAAATTTCCACCCCTCTTTTTCACCCTCTGGAAGGGTGATTTCTGGGATTAAAACTATCCTATGTCCTTTCTCGGGACTCAAACTATACCTTATACTAAATTTCATCTAAATCTGTTTATTGGTTTAAGCACAAAGAGGTAACAGAAAGACACTTTCACATTTCTAATATTAGTACCTATGGAAGTTTGGATATGCATTGAAGAATTTAATATATTTTTTTTGTAGTTTCGTAGAATTTTTTGTTGTTTTTTCAACAAATAGTTAAATGTATTAAAGTGTATATACCAATGAATAGAAAATTACTATAATTTCAGTGTAACTAGACTTAGAAACAACAATGCACGTACCATCCATCGCTTGTTCATTCACAAAAAGGCAGGTGTCATAAATACCGCTTGTTTACCGGCACATGGCGAACAAATAAGGTTACCAAATAAAACAGAACGAATTTCATGAAATTCACCTGTTCCTATAACGTTTATCTCTTCATACTTCTTAGCGTTGGGAAACAGGCCGTTGACATTGCTGAAAGCTGCTGAAGATATAGGACTTCGAGGAGCACTGGTGCTTGCAGACATTGTTCAAATAAAAACTATCGAGACACCCAAACTTTATGACAAAATCACTGAAAACCTAAACGCACGGAACTACAGAACTATGTATGAAATTTAGACATGTTTCATCACTGACATTCTCTGCTGATCCTGATTTACAAGATTATCAAACAGCCGGTTGTTTGAAGGACAAAATAAAATAAATATAAATTCTACAAACAACACAAACATGCACCGGAGATAAAACACCTGTCGTATAACTTTATGAATTTTAGAAGCGATAGTTTATGGATCGAATTCTATGAAGAAGCATGCCAATTAAAATTGGTCGCCTTATACATGTTGTGAGATCGTTCAAAAACGTTTTTTTCTTCTAGCATAAGTTTAAATTAAAGAAACTAGATCTATACATAATTACAATTGGAGTAGTACGAAAATAAGGTACAGTGTTATTGAAATAATCAAAGATGTTTTTTTTTATCTAAATAACAATCATTTGAGACACAGTAATTCATGAGCTAAGAGCTTTCATGAGTAAATGTAAACTTCTAAACTAAATTATGTAGGTTTGAACTTGCCATCTAGTGAGAGCTATGCGGAATTTTACTTGCCTGAAACAAATAAGCACCACTCTTTACGTTTTGTAATAGCAATATAGTCTGTACTCACTAGATGACGCTGTTCAATAAAAGTATTTTTAGCTTTCCAATAATTCAAAGCTTATTTTCTTTATTCCTTCCTAAACTATGTTTTTATAAATCCTACAATAATTTAATTACATGTTTTATTTTGTTTACCAAATTCAAAATGAAATTTATAATTTATGATCTAAACAAACCAAGTTAACCAATTTGTCATTAAATATTTCTATACTTTCTCCGTTTTTCAATAGACAATATTTTATTCATGTAAGTTTTGAACAAAATGTAGTCAAATAATATATAAAGAATATCAAATGAAAATAAAATGTAAAAAAGGAATTGTTTGGGCTCGTCCGGGATTTGAACCCGGGACCTCTCGCACCCGAAGCGAGAATCATACCCCTAGACCAACGAGCCGTTGCAATATAGGACGAAATACGTAATTTTGTTGTACATTGGATGACGTTGCACAATCCTTAAAGATATACTTCGTTTTCTATCAGTTTGCTTGATGAAGGTTTTTCAAGTACCGAACTTTGAAGTTCATCATTATCTATGATCCCATCCATTTTAAGGCTGAATAAAAAAAAAGTTTCTTGGTAAATCTCCTTTTCTCGTTCTCCTATCTCCTAACTACAAACAAAATAATTTCGAATCAATAAATTTAAACACCAAAACAAGACCGAAACACCTCAAGGCGTTTTAGAAAGTTGACGCGCGAAAGGAGAAAAAAATTACCGCTACATGACACCCTATACCTGTTTCTTTCACTCTAGTCAGAAATGCATTCTCCATCACTGTCGTGCGCGTAGCTCCGGCTCAATCGTTTTGGATTGAGCGAGTCAGTCGAATAAGAACTTAGAGCGCGCGCGTTGTCATAATAAGTTCCAATTTCGAAAATTAAAAACAAAATTTCTAGGCACAAGAACTTTTTTAAAACAATCTTTTTTTGTCGAATAGTTTACATCTTACAGCCTTCTGGATAAACTTTTAAGTGAAACGTGTTCCTTTTATCTCGCAAGCAGTGTTAAAATGTGAAAGTTCTTCAAGAAAACAGTGACGGATATACACATATACGTAGATTTTCTGCTACACACTATCCTACTTTTTTAGTGCAACAGCTGTTCAGCCAAATAAATTGGCCTAACTGGTGAGTCGGTTATTTAATTTAAAAAAGCTCTCGCTTGGGAACGATAACATATATTTTTAGAATTACCGTCTTTTAATTGGAAAAATATTTTATTGATATTACCAAATTATTAATTAAAATTGTTATTATAATATTATACTTCTGTGATTCGCCCTTCGAGATTACATTGACACACTTGTAGTAGCACGCATTATGTGCTGCCATCGTACACAATTTTAGAGCAACATTAACCTTTGCCTAAAAAATATAACAAAAAAAATATAAAATATGCGTTCGCACTGGGGGTAACTCCACATATTCATACACGTTTTGTGTCGCGGCCATCGTGCACGTAATTTTGCGTTTGCGTTTAATTTATTTAACTTTTATGTAATAATGTTACTTATTTTTTTATATTTAAAGTGCGAAAAAAGTGTATACAGGACTTTAAATATCTGAATATTAAAGATTTGCGCAAGGTGGAAAATTAAAACCAAAAAGAAGTTTGTTGGATTCACACTCAGAGGTACTTACATTACATAAATCTTTAAAAATACAAAGTTCAAGGTGAAATTAAACAATACCAAGTACCTAGTTGCTATAATCCGATGGAATCATCATCTTCCAAAAATCTATTTACATCTTGTAAAGAGAATTATTAGATTGTAAACTATATTCCTTTAACATGTTTAGTGATGCGAACAGCACAATGGGGCTGTTTCCTTCACGTACTTCGACATTACAGAAGTAATGACATCAAATATAACCCTTCGACTTATTTTGTGATGCGAGCAGTACATGGGACTTTTTCTGTCACGTACTCGGACACTATAGAAGTAAATAACATTGAATAAATTGTGCAACGTAAAACATGATGCAAAAGCCTTTTGGAATTATTAAATTCATAAAAATACACTTTTAATTGTGTTAACTTGTGGTAAGTAGTGTTGCCTGTGATGCGAATGGTTTTTGGGATCATTTCCTTCATAATAATACATAAGTAATATGTTATGTAAACTTAGGAGTGTTCACTGTGTGATGTGAATATTTTTTTGGGATTATTTTTTTCACAAAAATATTTAAGTTATACCTATATTAAATAAAATTTACTGCTTCCTTCATGTCCATCGAAATTACTACTCGTTAATTGGGCATTTGTAAACTATATTCTTTTAACATGAACATGTTTTGTGATGCGAACAGCACAATGGGGCTGTTTCCTTCACGTACTTCGACATTACAGAAGTAATGACATCAAATATAATCCTATGACTTATTTCGTGATGCGAGCAGTACATGGGACTGTTTCTATCACGTACTCGGATACTGTTGAAGTAAATAACATTGAATAGATTGTGCAACGTAAAACATGATGCAAATGCCTTTTGGAATTATTAAATTCATGAAAATACACATTTAATTGTGTTATCTTGTGGTAAGTAGTGTTGCCTGTGATGCGAATAGTTTTTGGGATCATTTCCTTCACAATAATACATAAGTAATATGTTATGTAAACTTAAGGAGTGTTCACTGTGTGATGTGAATATTTTTTTTTGGGATTATTTCCTTCACAAAAAATATGGAAGTTATACCTATGTTAAATAAAATTACTGTTTCCTTCGTGTACATCGAAATTACTACTCGTTAATTGGGCATTTGTAAACTATATTCCTTTAACATGTTTTGTGATGCGAACAGCACAATGGGGCTGTTTCCTTCACGTACTTCGACATTACAGAAGTAATGACATCAAATATAATCCTATGACTTATTTCGTGATGCGAGCAGTACATGGGACTGTTTCTGTCACATACTCGGACACTATTGAAGTAAATAACATTGAACAAATTGTGCAACGTAAAACATGATGCAAATGCCTTTTGGTATTATTAAATTCATGAAAATACACTTTTAATTGTGTTAACTTGTGGAAAGTAGTGTTAACTATGATGCGAATGGTTTTTGGAATCATTTCCTTCGCAATAATACATAAATAATATGTTAAGTAAACTCAAGGAGTGTTCACTGTAATGCGAAAAATTGCAACTACCTATTGAACCTGCAATTAACGAGAAACAGAACTTAAACTCACCTTTGCGTTTTTCGCAAAAAACATTTTGTGTCGAGTGCCCAGCATCCTGCGAGCTGTTTCTCTGGCCACAGTTTAGGGTAAATTAACCCAACAATTGCTGTTTCGTTGAACGGTATTTACACGGTATTTCAATATTACGAAGAAATGAAAATAAGTAATGTGTTACTTTGAAACAAATATTTTGAATGACGTAATTTTTAAAATACGTGTCGCCTCCATTTTTATCACAGATTCAAAGTATTTGGCACGAAATGTATCGAGTCAGCTTTTTCGATAAGTTTCTGTGAGGATTCCCCAACAGAAGAGTTATGACATGGTGACTACCTGCGATATCAACGAAGTCAAAACCGCTACGAAAACACAAGTTTGTGGAAGCGTCCACTCGACTCCGGAAGCTTTAAACTGGAGGGGCTCACCACCTATGCTGGCACTACCGGCACCTCAGCGCATGCAGCTGAGGTCCGGCCGCATCAATACCACAGGACCCACCAGCACCGCCAGTGTTTCCAGCCTGCTCCCTGCGCCGCTAACTGCTCTCTAAATAAAATCGGTTTTTAAAGCAGATGAATTGAATACCTATTAGTAGGAGATCATTGTATAAGTGTCGGCACAATCATTGTGGTGTTTGATCCCTATGAGGGTCAATTCTTGTCAGTATTTTTCTTATTTAAAAATGTACCAGTAAAAAAAAAGGCCTTTTTCGAAACCGAAAGGCATTAAATAATTATATTATACCTGATTATAACACACTAAGCTTGAGGGTTATAGAACTGCAAATGAAAAAAAAGTCATGAGATACCGCCTTGTGTGTTCTTTAGTTTTAAAAGACGATTTTACGATTTGATCTACAGAAAGCTCTAAGTTTTACCTTTTTCGGCTTAAATATTGTGACGTATATTTTTTAAAAATTTATGCGACTCAAACTGCAATATTTGCGCAATGTAAACAAGATTACGAATACACAAAAGTTTATATTGGAGTCATTAATCTTTACGATTAACAGAAAAAAGTGTGGGTACGTAATACACCTAGTTCAACTGCATCCTTTTATAGCAAAAATACATAGATTTATCAACCTCTTTACTAGGCAAATCTTCGCCATGTAATATTGATGGGTCTGACAACCAAATACGTTCGGGAGACAATCAGATATACTTGCTCAAATCAGACTGCCTGTGGACAGCGGTCGAAACAAGAGAAACATTTTTGGTCTTAAAATATTTGCAAAAGACATAAAAGACTACGAAATACTCCTACGCATATATAATCTCACCGAATAGACAAGCATTCAGTTTCCTCACACAGCTTAAGCAGGGATAATTGACAGCAAAAAAAAAAACTGTTTCCTTGCATCTAATATTAGCTCCAAAGATAATAATAATATGATACGCTTGCAGAGTTAAGTATAATACACGCTGATGTGGTGGGAGCTTGCTAATGACGAAAATCAGTAATTTTGTAAAACATTAGCACAGCCTCAGATATAATTATTTGCGGGACGATTAATTAGAAAAGGATGAAGAACACAAACTGCCCTGGTGGTCACAGTACTATTAGGATACCGTTCATAAAACAAGGTTATTCTCTGGACGTCGCGGATATTATGTTAGCATCAATACCTGATAGCAGGTTGTAACAATACAATGCTCGTTTGAAACAATGTCACTGTTTTTGTGGATAAAATTATGTACTATTTTTTGAAACGCTGTGGTCTGGGATATCTCAATAAGAAAAAGAAAATTAGCATAAATGACAGCACAAAATCGGTTATGTCATTATTAAAATAAATTCAGAAATAATGAACAATATTCTTGTCAAATGGTTTTTGTGAAGAAATTTATAAATTTCGTACCCTGTCACCAAAATATACTGTCACGGGTACTACTAGTACTACTTGAATCCCAAGTAGGGTGCATAATTATTTAAAGAGGAAACTTGGACCCATGTGATAGCATTTTATAAAGCTGTTTTTTTTTTAATAATAGGTAATAACTCTTTGGCTCTTTTTATTGCTCATAAGATACTTATTTTATTTATAATCAAGTCAAATATTAATTTGTAATCTAATGAAAGTTTCAAAATTAAATATCACTGATAAGATTAAGTCTTCAACTATAAATCGAGCTTATCATTTACTGACTTTATTATAACGATGTACCTTCAATATGTCTAGCCAAAAATCTTGGAATACTATTTCAATGTTTCAGCAGTGAAGAGGCAATGGGAATGTGTTTTTATTTTTTTACTAATATTATTATTTAGTTCATAGTTCGAGTCGCTGTATCTTTGCAACTCTACCAGACAGCGGAATAGACATAATCACCTTCTTATAGCACGATACGTGCTGCTACTTTACCTGATACTAAGCCAGAAGTTAGTATACAGCTTATGAAGAAAACTGCGGATTGGACAAGTGCGAAATTTTACAATAGAGAAGTATCCAAAAATAACTCGGCCTTTTTTGCTCGCTCTCTTTACAAACATTTTAAATAGATTTTTAAATTACCTATCTAGAGCTAAATAATAGTATTTTATTTTATTCTCAAATCAAGTGTTACTATATTAATTTACATTAGTATCTAAAAGTCAGCTATTTCGTGTAGCTTTAAACATCTACAAGTGTGTCAATGTAATCTCGAAGGGCGAATCACAGAAGTATAATTGAAAGTCAAACGAACTTACCTGTAAGTGACGTTCGACTTATATTATACGATGTGATTCGCCCGAGAGATTACACACCCTCCCTGTCCCTGATCAGCTATTCTATGAAGATATCTAGATCTTACCCATGGTCACACGAAATAGCAAGAACCAATGGACCGCTTTAGTCCAAACGTGTATGAATATGTGGAGTTACCCCCAGTGCGAACGCATATTTTATATTTTTTTTGTTATATTTTTTAGGCAAAGGTTAATGTTGCTCTAAAAT